AATATCTCTAAACTCTAGTAAATCCCTAGAATCCAGTAACTCCCTAGATATCAACATAACCCTATATCTCTAGATCGCCGTGTCAAGTATCTCTAATTATATTGCATTTTGTTGTTTCTATTTTTTGGCAACTTTCATATTTTTGGTTACCAAATTAACTATACAAATTTGTAAACAAGTGAGCACATATGAATAGTATGTTTCATTGTGATTTATTTTGATGCATTCCATACATTATACGAGTGTAGAATTCGCGAAGATACCACACTAATCTCTACGCATTAGAGATTTCGCAATTGCGCCGAGGTTGGTGAAATCATCGAACGCCGCGATTTCATTAATCATTCCGGACCCTAGGAAACACTGGAGTACTTCGATATTAAACTCGCGAGTTTACGAATTTCTCTCGGTAGTTTGCAATTTCGCGATGAATTTTTATGATGTTCGCAGTCGAGTGAATCGAAACGAGTAATAATCGAGCCTTTCCAGAAAAAAAACATGAATCGCGGAGAATAAATGTTTTTCATGCTTACGTGTTTAACTTGTCGGTACGTTGTGTTGAAACTATGTTGTACGAAATAATGATTCAAACTTCTTGCCGATCGTAAGGGAGAATGCCGATTTGTTGTATTCTTAATATAAATGTAGTTGATAGTAAAATGTGGGATTGTGTACGTGTATGTTCTCACGGTGACATTCAACGCGTTAAATGTCAAATAATTTATTAATTAAAACTCATCGATTCGGTTCTCTTTTGTATCGAGTCGATACGAAATTAGCTAACAGTTTCGTAGCCGACGAACGGTTTTCCTCGTCTCGTGAGAAGCTGTCGCTGGAGAAACAATAGCGGTCTCGTAACACGAGTAACAATTAAAGAAACGGCGGCATGTGTTGCGAACTCGTAATAAACAAATGCGAGATAAACGAGAACCGTGAACGTGTGCGATGAAAACGGGCTTGCACATGGATGTTAAAAGGGCTTTAGTGGAAAAATGAGCTAGTATTGTTTGTCGCGTGTATGACGCGCAATCACACAGCTCGAGACCTTGAACAAGTCTAGTGGTAAAAAGGTCAAAAATACAAACAGGACAAAAAGTCGATAGTAGAACGACAAAATGTCGCTTCGATGCACAGATATTCTTCTTAACGATTGGTCGACTCTAAATGTGATCCAATTGACGCAATAGGAAGAGACGTGTCTAGCATGACTCGCGATAATGATATCATGAATTATCAAGGATTATATGCGGAATTATATTTCTGGTCGATTACTTGCATGTGCTTTTTCCGTTCTTTTAAAATTATTGCTGTAATTTTGATAATTCTGAACTTTTTGCTTTTTGGTAATTTGTTCGATTGGTTAACTTTTTAATTGACACAGTAGGAGTTAATGGAGATTCGCGTTGCGGACTGAATATGGCAGATTCATGTTATATCAGAAGTTTGGATTTTTATGTTGTATTATTACGCGTTATATGACCTCGCGATATATTGCAATATTGCATTTCGACACATGTATTACCACAGGATGTAACATCATGCGTTGAAAATGTACGCACGAATGCTATCGTCATGCACTGAATTCCTTTGCGTTATATTGCCACGCATTAAGTTCTCTCGCATTATATTGCCATATATGGAATTTCCACGCGTTCTATCACCACGCTTGGAATTCCTTTACGTTCTATCACTACGCTTGGAATTCCCTCGCGTTGTATCGCCACGTTTGGAATTCCCTCGCGCTATATCGCCATACATTGAATTTCTTCGCGTTGTATCACCACCCTTGGGATTCCCTCACGTTCTATCACTACGCTTCGAATTCCCTTGCATTCTATCGCCACGTTTGGAGTTTCCTCGCGTTATATCGCCACGCATTGAATTTCTTTGCGTTATATCACTATAATTGGAATTCCTTCGCGTTCTATCACCACCCTTAGAATTCCTTCGCGTTCTATTGCCACGTTTGGAGTTCCCTCGCGCTATATCGCCACGCATTGAATTTCTTCGCGTTGTATCACCATGATTAGAATTCCCTCGCGTTATATCACCACCCTTGGAATTTTTTCGCGTTCTATTCCAACGTTTGGAGTTCCCTCGCGCTATATCGCCACGCAATGAATTTCTTTGCGTTATATCACTATAATTGGAATTCCTTCGCGTTCTATCACCACCCTTAGAATTCCTTCGCGTTCTATTGCCACCTTTGGAGTTCCCTCGCGCTATATAGCCACATATTACATTTCTTCATATTATATCGCCAGATTGATTTTCCTTGCGTTATATCGCCACGCATTGAATTTCCACATATGATACCACCACGCAATGAATTTCCTCGTGTTACATCACCTCGTATTAAATTTCTTCGTATTATATCGCTGGATTGACTTTCAGAAAATAATTATTATTTGTTAAGGTGCAGTAAATTATACTGCAACAATGTGTTACTCTGTAACACATACTTCAGTATCGTCTTACAACGTGTCTCACCGCATATGTCATCTTTTCACTGCGACAGTAGAAACGGTCGCGTCCAATTCGCCACACTAACCGAAAGTAATCTCTGCCCAGACTATTAAGGATTAACTTTTTTAATTAAGTTCGCAAATTCGTTATATGGAATTAACAGTAGAATTTTAACGATATTGAAGGTTTTCTTTCTTTGCCTATTTTCCTTTTCCTTATTCAACCTAATTAACGCGTCGACTGGCACAACCGCGTTTAATAACCTGGATTATCAAGGGTATTAAGGATTACTTTTTTTGATTAAATAATTCCATTTACTATTTGGAATTGCAATTTTAATAACGTCGGAGGTTGACTTTTTCTTGTTCAAGTTAATTAACGTGTTGGTTGCTACAATAGAAACAACCGTGTCTAATACAGCACGCGATACTGTTAATTATCAAGCGTACTACGACGCGGTTCTTTTAATTAAACTCTTCCATTCGCTATTGGCAGAGAACTATTATATTTTTAGCACCGTATTCTGCATATTGTTTCTCCATTTCTCCGTGACGTACGTGTTAACCCGTGCTTCTTGCTTGTTTCTATCATTTATACGCTGCATGATCTTGTTTCTTGGACAACTCAGAATACCGACTAGTCTACATCGTTAAAATCCTCAGGAAGTCGTGTTCTTCGTTTACCTGCGGTAAAATGCTGCCTGATATCATGTTATACCTAGTCGTAAAATGAGATCACCGCGTTTAGTTATTCAACAATGTGTGGTAAAGCAAGAAATTTATTCGAATGAGTTTGCAATGCGTTCGATGATATTGCCTCGAAAAGGAAGAAAAAACATGTTGAATTCTGGCGAAACATAGTAGAAAAGTCGAGCGTGTCGAGATTCGTAACAAGGCTCGCGTGTTTGCACAAAACCACACGCTCGTCATCGCGATTATCGGTACGTGATGACATCGATATTCGAGACACGAGTGGTTTTGTCTTTTTCTCCTTTTTGCGTGTAAATATCACGAAAATGTATCTATTAACATATTAATATTTACGAAAAGCATTCGCGTGTAATTGAAAGTCGGAACACAGTGTGCACGTTCCACGATCGAGCTGAACCGTGAATGGACGTGAAACTCGTGCTTTACGACATATCATTGAAATTGTAGATTATCGTTTTTTAAATCGAATACATCGTAGTTGTATAATTGGCCAATTAAATTATAGTAGCTTCCCATGCTCGGACTTGTATGTTGTACTTTCATGTATTGAATTTCGGTGCGTTATATTGCCATATCGGTAAATATCGGTACGTTACGTTACTTCGTGTTATATTGCCACGACTTGTATTACCACGTGTTATATTACCGTGTGGTATATTGCCTCGCTATAATCACCACGTTAATGTTACTATGCATTATATTATCATTCATTATTATTACCACACGTTGAATTTCTACGTGCTATATTACCTCGCGTTATAGTGCCACGCGTTATATTGCATCGCGTTATATCACCGGAAATTTGCATTCCCATATGCGATATTACTACAGATTAGTATTACATCATTCTGATTTTCTATGAATTGAATTTCCACGCGTTACATTGCCTCGCGTTATATAGCCACGCGTTATATCGCCGGAAATGCGCATACCCATATGCGATATTACCATAGATTAGTATTACATTGTGCCGATTTTCTATGAATTGAATTCCTGCGTGTTATATTGTCTCGCGTTATATTGCCGCGCGTTATATCACCGGAAATTTGCGTTCCTATGTATAATATTATTACAGATTAGTATTACAATGTGTCGATTTTCTATGAATTCAATTCCTACACGTTATATTGCCACATATTATGTTGCCTCGCGTTATATTGCCATGCGTTATATTATCACCTATTGAATTTAAATGCGTTGTATTACCATATGTTAAGTATCTTTATAATCAATTTTATTGCATTGTACTATCTCGCATTATATCGCCATATGTTGTCAAGTGTCATAATACTTAATTACCGGCAATATAACGATAGTCTACTGTAACACATTGACAGTCACAGTCATCCACAAATAACTCACTAGAACTTCGATAGAATTTTGAAGTCAGAATCTTCTTTTGCAAAGAATTGTTACTCCAAATATTATCTCTCGACTATTGAACATCCACGCTAAACATCATAAAACTGTTATTGATTCACCCGATTACGAAACTGACGTAGTGCAAATAAGACGATGAGCGCGATTTCTAAATAAAACTATGTACGTAAGCAACGTTGTTGCAGAATTTATTTTTCTTTCAAGAGCAGAAACAAGGAGCTTCTAAAATATTGCATATTTTGTTCCAAATGTTATTTCTCAGAAATATGAAATGCATATTGCTCCGACATTTGTTCCGTAACAAGGAAAATCTGTTTCTACCTGAATGTTAAAATTGATAGTATAAGGAAAAGAATTTATATGTTAAAAAATTCATACATATAAATGATACCTGAAATGTTAACACATTTCACAGTTATTAACGTGAACTTCCTTTTGTTTCAGATACGAGAGGTTGCTCAGAAGAGCGAAGACAGAGGACCTCTCGGAAGTTTCGGGAATCGGTTGTTTGTACCAGAGCGGGGTCGATCGCCAGGGACGACCGGTGGTCGTGTTCGTCGGCAAATGGTTCCCGGCCACTAAAATCAATCTCGACAAGGTAAAATGAAATTCCATAAACGACCATTCACAGCCTGTAACTCGGTACTTACATTTTCCGTGAACTTTCTGAATCATCCTCGCAAATTGATCCAAGTTCAGAACGCGATGAAACGGTCGGGAGTCGAAGGTGCAGCCGAGTGTCACCGGCGCAAAATCAATAAGCGTGTATACGTGTATTCCGCTGTTGGTTAGGCTCGACTCTTTTATTATGGACTGGCGTGTTGAGCATTCTTTTACGAGCGTCGATCGATCCGTTTAGCACAGTTCTCGCCGGTAGCAAATTGCTCCGATTCTGTTCGACGAAATTCAACGTCGTCGACTTCGTTAATCGAATTTATCAATGAATTTATCGTTTTAATCGACGCGGCGTTCCATTGGGTACGCTCGACAGCAAATCTGGCTTCCTCTGGGGAATCATCAGAAATTTCGGACTTTTAAAATACGGGAATTTAACTGGCGCGGTATGTGGGGACTTAGGGAGTAATTTGGTACATTGGGAGTTTGGAAATTGCGAGATTGGGGATTTGGGGAATTGGTGTTGTGGAGATTTAGGAATTCGACTTTTGGGAGTGTGAGATACGGGAATGTGGGAATTTTTGCATTTCATGCTTGGGATTGTGGAGATTTGGGGATTTGGGAATGTTGGAATGTGGGAATATAGAATGTTGGAATGTGGGAATGAGGAAGGTGGGAATGAGGAATGTGGAAATGTTGGAATATGGGAATGTTGGAATGTGGGAATGTTGGAATGTGGGAATATGGAATGTAGGAATGTGGGAATGAGGAATGTGGGAATGAGGAGTGTGGGAATGTTGGAATATGGGAATGTTGGAATTTAGGAAGATAGGAATGTGGAAATGTTGGAATTTAGGAAGGTGGGAATGTGGAAATGTTGGAATATGGGAGTGTTGGAATGTAGAAATGTAGGAATGAGGAAGGTGGGAATGTGGGAATGTTGGAACATGAAAATGTTGGAATATGGGAATGTGGAATGTAGGAATGTGGAATGTGATTATTTAAAATTTTGGAATATCCAAGTTTGCTACTATAGAATTCAGAAATCACACAATTTCACCGAATAAAAGTTTCATACAATTTCATAAAAATTCCAGAGTACATTCTCAATATTTAATTTTCCAAATTAAAAAATTAAGAGTGATCTATTCATACGTCGCTCCCTAATTGCAAAACGTATGTTACGAGGCCTTCGTGCCTACACTCGTCCTCAACGAATAGCAGGCAACGTTGCACTCGAGTGTACAGTCGCTTCGAAGTTAATGAAGATGGTTATAAATATTTAACGAGCCATCGAGTCGAGTTTAGAGAGGACGTTTGCCGACGAACGAGAATTCAGACGAATTCGGAATGTAATTTGCATCGCGATCGACGGAAAGATTTTCTTGCCACGTCTTCTAATGAACTGTGTGGTATTTCGTTCGTTTTAACGTTGTTGCAGAGTTGAACGAGGAAACCGAGATTTTTAGCATAATCAGCGGAAAAAGTGCTCTTATTGAATGCATTATTGAAATTTTCCACGGAGAATATAACGGGGCTGGCTACCTTGAAATGTTAATTACGAGTGGATTTATTTGGGTCGGGTATTTGCGATATTTATCAGCATCTTTTTGTTTCGAGTCTTATTTTGAGGAGTTTTAATTTTAGGAATGTTGAGATCTTTCAGAAATTTAAACTTTTAAATACTTGAACCTCCGGACTTCATAGAAACCTCCACGTATTCTATGTTTCTCATATACCAAAAGTTCAATCATAAAATAAAGCATCATAGACAAAATTAGTAGCAATTCAGTCGAGCACAGGCAGCGACCGGAAGCCGTCCCGAATAATTCATTCCGCCGATTGAATATTTATTCCGAACGTCGTTTGTCCGATAGTCGTACTGAATTATCGTCGATACGTCTCTGAATTGATCGTCACTTGATCACTTGACCATGCTAGGTGTCGTGTTGAATGGCTCTATAAATGAATCATCTTGCATCACTGACTCTCGACCCTCTGCTGCAAGGTTCAAAGTTGAACGTCATTCACGAAAGTTCAACTTCTGTTCCTCTGGTAATTTCATTTCTTCCTACGTAACTACCGTTACGTCAGCTTATTTCCCTTTCTTCGATCTCATTGGAAAATGAAAGATTATGGAACTTTTTATAATAATGATCCTCATTGTGCCCTCATTGAATATGGATGAAGTTGAATACATGTGATTTGACTTACAATTGTGCTTCGCGTGACATAAAATGTAGAAAACAAGTGCTGACTTCGTTTATAATGTTGCCGTTGTTGATTTGATTTAAATATTTTTATACACTTTTACTTAATTCTTGAAATATTTCTACTTTTGTCCTTCAAATATTTCTGTGTACTTTTAAATAATTTTGTTCTTAAATATCGAATCTTGAATTAAATATTTTGACGAGTCTCGTGACGCACTCATGACGCACTCATAAGTTTCGTGACGCACTCATAAGTCTTGTGACGCACTCACAAGTCTCGTGACGCACTCACAAGTCTTATGACGCGCTCATGACGCATTCATAAGTCTTGTGACGCACTCATGACGCGCTCACAAATCTTGTGACGCACTCATGACGCACTCATAAGTTTCGTGATGCACTCATGACGCACTCACAAGTCTAGTGACGCACTCACAAGTCGCGGTCTCGTGACGCACTCATAAGTCGTGTGACGCACTCATAAGTTTCACGACGCACCCATAAGTCTCGTGACGCACTCATAAGTCGTGTGACGCACTCATAAGTTTCACGACGCACCCATAAGTCTCGTGACGCACTCATAAGTCGTGTGACGCACTCAACGCACTCATGACGCACTCATAAGTCTTGTGACGCACTCACAAGTCTTGCGACGCACTCATGACGCACTCATAAGTCTTGTAACGCACTCATGACGCACTTACAAGTCTCGTGACGCACTCATGACGCACTCATAAGTCTTGTAATGCACTCATGACGCACTCACAAGTCTTGTGACGCACTCATGACGCACTCATAAGTTTCGTGACGCACTCATAAGTCTCGTGACGCACTCATAAGTCGTGTGACGCACTCATAAGTTTCACGACGCACCCATAAGTCTCGTGACGCACTCATAAGTCGTGTGACGCACTCATAATTTTCATGACGCACTCATAAGTCTTGTGACGCACTCACAAGTCTTGTGACGTACTCATGACGCACTCATAAGCTTGTGACGTACTCATGACGCACTCATAAGCTTGTGACGTACTCATGACGCACTCATAAGCTTGTGGCGCACTCACAAGTCTCGTGACGCGCCTATGACGCACTTATGACCCACTCATGACGAGTCTTGTAACGCATTCATCACGTACTGTGCTGTGATCAATTTTACTTAAATTTTTAGTACGCTTCAATTTGAAGTTCAAGTCGAAAATTTTACCTAGTCAACGATTATATAATATCAAATTAACATAACATTTCAGCTTGTTTCGTCTGTTTTAATATCATTGTTCTGACGCAGCAAATAAATCATAGTGTAAGAGGCTAAAAATATCAAACCTTACTTAACATTCAGTGAATATAATCTGACTGTTAATTGTTGGTAATTAGAGTTCATAAGAAATTACTAAAAATTTGCAAATAAATCAACTACTAAGAGTTTCAGCTTCGTCTGCAATTTCTCCCTGCATTGAAGGGTCGCAGCGAAGTGGTCGTTAAAGATTTCCAATTAATTTCAATTCCCCCGATCTTGTGCGTATCAATATCATCTTTGCTCCTTCGTATCTGGTCCCCTTTGCTCGTTGGTGGCAAGCCCACCACCGCCGGCGAATCGATATTTACACGTCCAGAAATAGACCGACCACGGAACAACCCCGAAGCCGAGGGCGTACGAGCTTGCAATGTCGTCATGGGCTGATCCACCCTGGAAAAGTTTGTTTTCATCCCTGCACGTGACCCTTTTTCTTCGACGCGGCGTCCTTTTGAAGAAACCAGCGACGGATATAACCGGCTACGATCGAAACGGAAACACCTGCTCGACCTCGCCCTAAAACCACCCCTTTCCTACGCGACTTTGATCGATTCGCTAGTCGCGATCAATCAACAACTTTTGTACGCTTCTTTTTATAGGGAATATTGTTGTTACTCGGAGGGAATATTTTCTCTTGTGAGGATTGTTTTAATGTGTCGACATTGTTAGTCTTTTGTAGATCTGAATGGAGGAATGGAGTTTTAGGGGTTGGAGTTTTGTGGGACGTTGAAGGTGGTCAGTGAGAATTATTTAATTTTGGGGATTTTAGGGGTGGGAGGAGTTTTGTGGAAGGTTGAAGTTGGTCGCTAAGGGTTATTTAATTTTGGGGATTTTAGGGGTTGGAGGAGTTTTATATAAGATTGTAGTGGGTCACTGAGAATTATTTAATTTTTGTGATTTTAGGGGTGGGAGGAGTTTTGTATAAGATTGTAGTTGGTCACTGAGAGTTATTTAATTTTTGTGATTTAAGGGGTGGGAGGAGTTTTGTATAAGATTGTAGTTGGTCACTGAGAGTTATTTAATTTTTGGGATTTTAGGGGTTGGAGGAGTTTTGTATAAGGTTGAAGTTGATCACTCAGAGTTAAATTATTTTTGTGATTATAGGGGTGGTATTTTTGTGGAAGGTTGAAGTTGGCCACTCAGAATTATTTTATTCTCGTAATTATAGGGATGGAAAAATTTTTAGGTAGTTGACTAAAAATTAATTTATTTTACTAATGGTTCTATAGGACTTTTTAAGTAATTTATTTATGAATTTTTGTATTTAGAAGTTTGTCAACTTATGACTAGTGAACTCCGAAATTCTTGAACCACTCTAGATAGAATTTATAGGTTAAGGTAGTCAGAGATTTGGAAATTTGGAAGTTTGACAATTGCAAAGTTTCAGAACCTGAACATTTGGAAACTTGCTAATGTATTAAACAATTTTTAAGTTTGTTCGGACATTTGGAAATTGGGAAACATTCGAAAAAT